GGGGCCCTGGGCCGATGCGGCCCCACAGGAGGCGGCGGGACGGCCGCACCACCGGGGCCTGGAGGGGGGGGCATCGCCGTGAGGGGCCGTGACCGCGATCGCGATGCCGGCCCAGGCCTCTGCCCGCGCTTCTCTGGCCCTGTGGTGCTCGCCCACTGCATGAGCCCCACCGGGCGGTGCGCCCTCACCGCTCTGCCCGGTCGGTAAACGCCACGGGCTGCGTTCAGTTACCCCGCTGCTAATTTTCACGGGCGGTCTGGCCCTCCGTCCCGCTCAACGGCAAATTGGTACGTGTCTTGTGCAGGGAAACACTCGCGTGCGGCACGTTACTGGCCGAAAGACACGTGAGAGGAAGGGAGAGCAAAGTCCCGGTTCGCTGGGGTTAACACAGATTTATCCAAAGTAACAGCCCTGGGTTTTATCTGAAAGAAACTTGTATGTCCTTCATCTTTAAAAAGGAAATGCTAGGTTCCTTTAAATAAAGTTAGATTATACTTAAAGCGCAACAGCTGCTTCCCACTTCATCAGCAGTCATTAGTAAGTGTCGCGCGCGAGGGACACATGGTTTTACAGATGTCCTTTTGGAAAATAAATTGGTTATGGGACTCGGGGGGGGGAGAGACCCAAAGAACATCCTTACATTTTACCTGCTTAGACTTCCAATTATCACACCTCTGCATTTTGCACAGCCAAGTGTTCAACTCTGCTACTAAACATCCCTGGCACCGTGGAGCATGGGGAAGGAGGGCTGGGCTGGGGGCGCAGGTAGTTTCTGAAATCTAATAAAGTTGACAACTAAACTTGGAATTACTTCATAGCTTTTTATCTTCTTGAGAACTACGAGTTGCAACCTGTTAGATGGGAGGAGGACACTAGGTGGAGCTACGTGCTCTCTGCTGAGATAAGGTGGGTGGCGGCTCCAGAAGGGGTGAAAGCTGCCTTGCAGAAGGTTTGGGAAGCAGGGCTCACCTAGAAGCAAAGATTGAAACATTTCACTAGTGTACTTGCATCAGTAAAGCGCCAACTGTGGGACTGAAGGATCCGACCTGCTGAAGCCGTAAATTCTAGAAGACTTGTAGGAGCAAGAAAAATACTAATTCTTGCAAGATCCACTGCAGATCAACTACTGAGTATGCCCTTAGAAAAAATTGTTAGCGATATTTCATTCTATGACCTGCAGACCAAATGTTCTCATTGTCACTGCTGAATACAGCCCTGCTGGTGTTTTGTAAAGAGAGAAACTTAACCAAAGAACAGAGTAAGGAACTAGAAAGGTTGCTTGTATCGCATTGCTGAGCAAAAAGGCACTCTGAGGCACTGTGCCACTAAGGGTTCAACTTTGTATTAATTTGCAGAGCTTCATGGGTAACGTCTAATGAGTTTGTGTGAATCGGTTAATGCATTACACTTACATCGCCCATTCTCTCCAAAGGCTTTCATGGTCTGGGATTTCTTTAATAGACCAATTTGCAGTATCAGCTTTCACTTGTGGGTTTGTTTCTTTTTTAACCAGCAGGTTTACCTGATGGCAAAGTCTGGACGCAAAGGCAGCTAAAGGAGAGCTTTTCCAAAAGCTGGGGGCTTGAAAGTGGAAGCCGGGTGCCTCGACAGGGCAGGTCGCATCAGCGCTGACGCAGCTACGATTACAGGACAAGGACAGAGCGGGATTGTTCCTGGAAAACTGTTCAATCCACAGCAAATTACACAAGCATTATAGTGGTAGAGCAGTGGAAATACAGTGATTTTTGTTTCTTAAGAAGGTGATTTTGCTTGGTCAGCATAAGCTCTGGATTTTGCTGACAGGAGTCAGAATGGATTGTGGGGGCCGCCCAGGCTGTGCCAACATAAGGTGAATTTTACTGGTGAAACAGCACGCTTTGAATTTTTCAGATTGAGCAATGCTAGTGTGGTCAAGGCAGTAATTCTCCTGCCAATAATAGTAATTCTACTAATCTAGAATTGCTTATGGAAGTATGGCTTATTCTGCTTCAGTGAAGCAAAGTGCACGTCATTGTTTTGAAATTCTGTAAATGGAAAGTAAACAAAATTTGCTAGAAGTAGGTCTGGCTGGTAACGTTAAAAAATGACAGTAAGATGGGGCTTATCTTTTCTAAAGATTTTGATACAGTGGAACATGCTCAGAAAACATCCTTAGCTGTCCAGAGATAGGAACAGGAGGCCAACTCCTTTACATTTTTAGAAAAAAACCTGAATTGGCACCTGCAATCCCTTCCGAATGATTGTATCAATCATTCCTGCCACAAGAAATAAGTTAGAGAACTAGGACAAGTAAGATATTTACAATGAGATTTAGGAACTTCACAAACAGCTGTCTTAATATTTAGTTTGGAATTCAAACTGTGCTCCAGTTTCATACAAAAAAAATTTGCAAAGTAATTGAATTTAGTTTCTGCACAAAAATACCAGTCAGTAAAAATGACCTGTTCAAGAGATGCATTCACATCTTGGAAAAAAATCTATCAACTTAGCACTCCAGTCCCTCATCACTTTACTCTGAGACTCCGTCAGCTTTGTTTTGGCACCGCGTGATTTAAGGATGTAACTGTTGGTGACGTGTGACGGTATTGGGAAGAGCAGCAAGTGAACCGCTGCAGGACAAAAAGCTTTAAAGCTGGAGGCTCTCTGATCAATTCAGTTAGACAACAGTAAGGTCTTTCTCTACAGCTCCCAAAAAGGAGTTAAAATACCCCGCTAGCTGTTTCACTACGGTCTACAAACAGGCTGGAGCCCTCTAATGGCCACAGCAGCTTGGAGCTCACCGCCGGCAGCCTCTCGACGCGAGGCACACAATACAATAAATCCAGACTACAACGTTACCGCTGTATTCGCTTCGCACTCCGTCCAGCCATTCAAGTGAGCGGTTCGGTAAAATTTAAGATGTGTGTGTCAAAGCGTGGAGCTGTTTCTCAGAGCCTCACGTACTTGTATTTAAGACAAGGTTTAACGCCTCGACTTCTTTCCTACCTGTCCTGTCGGCCAGTGTTTCGGGGCTGCTGCGATTCACACACTTGAGACAATCGGCCACTAAACGTCTGGGGCTGCACACTTGAGACAATCGGCCACTAAACGTCTGACAATGCCGCTGTGTGTTCGCACTCAGTGGGCTGTGAATATCCTTGGGAATTTCTTTGTTGCATTACTGTACACCCACAATCATCACACTCGCCAAACAACGTCGCTTTCGGTTACTTTCTAGAATAAAAAAATTTCTAAAAATAGTTCAAGCCTAGTCTGCGTTAGAGAACAAAGCCTTTCGGGATAGGAGTTGTACATAGGAGCTGCATAAAGCCTCGCTTGCTTTATGCTGCCTTCCCATGCTTACTTTTTCAATTAAAGAACTTCTCAGATTTTGTGTAAGACAAAACATTCCAACGCAACTCCAGCAAAGAACCTAAAGCAATTCTTGGCGTGAGAGTGAAAACCCTTAGGCGCTGAGTTCATTTGGAAACGGATGGGTTACCAAGTTTATAGAAATATTTTAAAAATACTTGAAAATAAAAAGTAACAACTTCTCTTTTGTCTAAAGCCATACATACGTGGCATTAGAAACACAAAAGATGAGTAAAGGTAAATACAATTTTGATACTTCCTGTACTATCCATCATGTATAAAATAGACTACAAACCTGTTTCACATAGATCATAACAAACCCAGTTTCAACCTGAGTTGTAGCTTGAATGTCCAAATTTTTCTCCCCATTTATCATCAGTCATTGCCGAACAGAAAAAGCTCAAACTCTCTGAGTAAGCAAAAGCTCCACAAAATACGAGTGTGCATCTTTTCTTGCAGCGAATGGGCTTGGTTTATTCGGTCTCTCCACACCCAGAGCTCTGTAAGAAGGCTCACTGCGTTCCTGATGATTTGTATGTCTCCACCAGTTGATTTCAGTCATACGAAAAGCGTCCAGACCTTTAATTTTTTCCTCCCAAAGAGAGAAAGCAGGATTAATTACCATCTATAGACAAAACCACAGCTCGTTGCTATTCCAAATGCAGCGTCGCTTTGCCTGAGGAGTCCCAGGTCCACGTAAATAAGAATCCCATCTCTCTTCTCTCACAGGGAGGACGAGTGTCCCCAGTTATCTGTTCTGCATGTGGATATCCACAGGTATGAAAGTCACCGTAGGATGCTGCGCCACGCTGTTGCTGTTCTGCCCTAAAGCAGGTGGCATTGCTGGTTTGGTGGGTTTGGGTTCCAGCTCCCGCTTCACTCTCATGCGTCTGTAAAGGTAAAAAAATGAAATTGTCACCAGAGCTGGCACGTGTTCGTGGTCCCTCCCATGGCAACTATCGGGAAGGTTCCCGCGGAAGCAGGTTACATCGAACAGCTACTGAAGAGTCAATACAAGCCAGGATTTCATCCCAAAGATCCTAAATGGCAAGTTGGTGCTTCTAGAGCATGTAAGTCTACCCCAATGCCCTGAAAAGTGAGAAATCAAGCTCCTCTCTGGCAGCCTTGATGCACACAGCAGACCTATGTCAACAGCAATCCCTAAACAGAGCGTCCATCGAGCATCCTCCATCAAGAACCTCTTTCTCCCTCCTAGCGATTCCATCGCAGAATGCCGACGGTGAGATTCAGGACACTTCAATCAAGCACATTATAGTTTGGATTCTCCTGGAAATCTTCAGCAACATAAAATGAAATGGTCTGTTAGATGAGAGCACACCTAACAGCGATTTTGGTTCATCTTGTCTCGCCTTAGTGAAGTATAGAACTTGGCCACATACCTGTTATATGTTTTCAATATGAGCAGAACCGCTGTAAAAATAATAATCACTCCTACTACGATGGCAGCAACTATTGCTCCAGAACCTAGCAGGGAAGCAGAAAGGAAAAAAAAGTCTTATTTACAAAGTTGTCGTTGTACTGTTTGAAGTTTGCTAACATCAAGGTCCATTTTAAAAAAAAAAAAAAAAAGCCCCCACCCCTTTTCTTACTTTGATAAAGACTTTGTTCTCGATACTTTGTGGTCACATTGACTGAGAACTGAGTATTATTGATCGGTGGTGCGGCTGTCGTCATCGTGATTCGGCTACAGAAGAGAAAAAAAAAAAGAAGAGCGAGTTCATAAAATATTAACCAAAATTTGACAGCACAATTCGCTGATAATTAGGCAACAAGCCATTAAAGATTCCGAGCTCACTAAGTGCAGGCTCACTGAACTGGGGTTCTTAATATTTTCTTAGTGGTGAAAATCTGACCCTGCTGAAGTCAATGGACATTTTGCTACAATCTAGTCTTCAGCAATTTGCCTTACAATACACGCTGCTCAGTATTAGTAAGATAAAATAAGATTAATCACAATAATGCATTGTTACCTGTATCTTATTGCTGTTATACAAGTTTGGGATAAATATATATCTTAAATGCTTTAGGATTTTACATTATCGTTTCAGGTTGAGATACAGATCACTGAGCAAGTAAGTGTGAAGAGTAATATGTCTTTAAGGAAGGGAAAAAAGTCAGCAGAGAAAGGTTTAAAAACTCCTTTATAGAATAGAATTTAAAGTAGCTTCATTCAGCTAACATGGAGAAGAAAAAACATTTAACCCCCTAACTTGAAGCTCCAAAAGTTACATGACAAACATGTCCTATCCCATGACAGGAGAAAAAAAAAATATTGCAATGTGACTATGACAGAAAGTTGACGTGAGTTCGGGCCAGCACCTCGCTCGTGCCAGTGTCCTTTCAGGTCTATTATTGGAAGAGGACAAGCCTGCAAGCGGATGGCTGAAAATATGCCTGCTCCTGCATTTTGGTAGGATAAAATCGTAGATCTAGAAAGAGCAGCCTGTATGTTTACTGATTTTAAAAGCGTTTTCCAAATGTTTTCTAAATGTGACTAGTAACCTTAGCCGTTAAAAGACTCCTTCAGCCTGAGAAGGGTGTGAATACCACTTCAAACAGACCTCTGAAACCATTTCAGCTCCCGGCTTCAGAGAGCTAATACCCTCAAACTATCCATCGAAAATTAAATCATTCTTCAACACCTGATAGTGGAATTGAGTTTACCGTTTCAGATGCTGCCCAGTACATACACCAGCCAGGACTCTGCTCTACTCTGTTATACTCCATTGGATATTGTGGATCTGTGCCATGTTCTTGGTAGCTTTGATTTTACAGAGCACAAGATAGAGAATAGCCAGAAAGTTATTGAGTGGATAGAAATCAGTCCATAATAAAGAGAGGTGCAAATGTGACAGGCACCTCCCTTCCCCTCCCCTCTTGTTGAGGCTTTCCTAAAGGTTTCGGCAAAGTAAAACGCATGTAGTGGCAGGGTGCAGTTTTGGGAGACGAGGAGGACCCAGCTCTGATCGCTCTTGACAGGCAGGGTGTTGTTTCGGGGCAGGGAGGCCAGTAGCTGAGTCAACACCCCGTGTGTGCTCGGGAGGCTCCACCAGCAGATATAGGAAGAATGAGAGCGAGCAGTAACCAGCAGGAAGGGAAACGGTCAGTGTCCGCCTGGGTACGAAGGATCAGAACTGCGAGGTCGATTCATCAAATACTTCGATCCCCTTAAGTTAAAAAGGTTCAGGTTTTTTCTTTTAATTTAACAAACAAAAATAACTCTGTCTCGAGTCTGTAACTGGGTCATTCTCCTCCGACTGAATGATTCCTTTGTTTAGCCAAGGCCAAGTTAATTCAGCAACATGATCATGAACTGTAGTCGTCGATCTTTCCACGCTGAAAGAAATATTTTGTGTCTAGAGTTTTCCCAGCCTTATTGTATAGCACAGCGAAAGGATTTACACGCGCCTTGGAGGAACCTGTGAGAGGCACCGAAGCTCGGGTAACGGCGCTGTCCTCATCTGTTTCCCCACCCATCCATTTGAAACCACGTTGATGAAGGCTGTACCATTGACAAGCAGAGGCTGAAGAGACTCTCCGTCACGCTGCAGGCTGGGGAAAAGCTGAGCAAGTATTTTGACTATGGAGATAATTCAGAAAAAGCCACGTCCAACTTTTACCTTGTTGCTCCTGACCAGGAGAGCACAAATTCCAGATTTACAGAAGCGTTTTTCTCCTCCTCTGGCTACTAAAATAAAAACCCCAAATAAAGAAGGCTGAATATTTCGATATTAAGCCATGTAATATTCATACTTGCTAACTTCCATCTGGTTCAAACCACCTTGGTAATGGTGAGCTATTTGTGCATGAGTCACCTATAACCGAAGAATTTTTATTGTCAGGGAAACCGCCTGTTTACAGAAAGGATGAATTTATCCAACAGGGGGTAACAATCTAAGATGCAATTTGAAAAATGCATCAAATCTTTTTTTTTTCTGCACTGTGTAGCAAGTAAAGAGGTCCAAGGTCTGTGTCTCAGGCCAGGGTGGGAGATACCAGTCCTTAGTTCTGCCGCTTTACCTACAGCAAGTCTCAGCTCCGTTCCTCACCTATGAATCAGCAGGGTTACGCCTGACCAAGCCTGTGCTGCGAGACTCAAGGACCCAGCAAAGTCCAGCGAAATCCATGGGAACCTACAGCTTTCGGGGTATTGCAGGCTGGATCCTACTCCGTTTAGAAAAACATTTGGAAAATCAAGAGTGCTCAATAAAAGCTATATAGCAGGGGAGAAGAAAAGGACTTTGATACAGCAGTCACAGGACATTCTTTCTTTATGACACACGGCAGGCACTTCCCCCTGCGCATACGCACCTGCCTGGGGTTTTGAGAGCCACTACTTCACCCGTAGCTCTCAAGACTGGGGGTGGGGGCACACACTGCTGGTTCTTTTTGCATCCCCGTATTATGGAGCTGGAAATGTTTCCATGAAGTTAAGCTTTGGGCACGTTTCCATTTAAAACACCTTTGCAGATACAGCGTACGGGTTGTTTTGGCAAGCGGGAGCAATGCCCCCATTTATACGGCCTTCCTGCCTCCCCCTGCCCTGTCGAATTTCAAGCTGAATGGCCGTGCTCATTTACAGTGAGATGGGGATCAGAGCTCATCTGTCAAGCGGCTCCCGCAGCACCTGGCAATTACAGGAGAGGGGTGACGGGGAACAGAGGGGTTTGTTCGACTTTTTCCAGGAGAGGTGGACTCCGAGAGCCAGCTCCCTGCCAGGGAAGGCAGGTGCTGGTTAGGAAAACACATAAATTCAGTGCTTTGCCACCCAGAAAAAGGTGGTCTTTGCATCAAGCTGTGTTGCAGGCTTTAAACTAGACACAAAGTCAGCTATTGTTTCTCCAGCAGTAACGTATACTAGTTTTGACCCAGAAGCTCAACTAGTTGCAGGCTAAACTAGACACAAAGTCAGCTATTGTTTCTCCAGCAGTAACGTATACTAGAGAATATCCTTTCAACCGCACTGCTGCACAGATAGTATTTTCATCTTCATCTAGTAATATATACTAGTTTTGACCCAGAAGCTCAACTAGAGAATTAATTCATCCTTTCAACCGCACTGCTGCACAGATAGTATTTTCATCTTATGTTGTGGCCAAACACAGGCTGAAAACCAGGTGATTTTTCCCTCCTTACTTATCCAGGTCTAAGGAAGAGCACTGGCTGCCAGCTCTGCTGCTCTGGGACTTGATTCCCTTCCCAAAAATGTCAACAGGGCAGGGTCTTAAATCACAAAACCCACTAAGGAATGGGACAACAAAACCCAGCGCTGGTTTGCTTGATTTCTGGTTTTCTTTCTCAGTATACTAGCCGTGACAGCTGCTAGGAAAGGGAATATTCTCTAGAATATTTAGAAATAGATTGGAATTTGGGCTATTCTCTTCCCTCAGGTCCTCTTGCAGATGTAAATGAGCAGCGCCATGTGAGAACCATCTTACACGATCAAAAGGCCGCTGAGAGCTGAACTTAATGAACACTACTAGGGTGCTGGAGCCGTGTGAGGAGAAACAAATTATCAGGGGTATAAAGCATTAATTCCAGTAAAAAAATGCCAAGATGTCATCGAAGAAGCCCAAGAGGCAGTCAGATCCTATTAAATAAGGGGGGGGAAAGACTTCCTACCACATGAGCGGTAGATGTCCCGACAGTCGATCGAATCTCAGATTCGTTCTCTCCTGCAAGAATTCCACACCACAGACCCATCACCATCCTTTATCCTGCGAAAGAAGAGGCTGAGGAGTCAGCTACCGTCCACGTCCACCCTCCCACCGCTCCGAAGGAGCTTTGTGCTAAGGCACGTTTGTTTGAGGCTCAGCTCAAACCGTTTGAGCTCAGCTCAGCTCGCACATCAACCTAAGCAGCAAACTCGCTCCCATCCAAGGGAGAAGCTAATCCTTCTAAGTAAGTCCAGAGGTTTTCTCCCTTCCTAAAAGTAAGGGGGCTCAAGAGCAAGGACCTGGCTTGCGAGCAATCCCCAGAGGAAGCAGATGGGTGTTTCGGCTCTGCTCCTGCCTCCACCCGAGCAGCCTGACCTTCCCTGTCTTTGCAACGAGGTTTTCCTTGTCTAATCACAGTGAACAGCGAGTGGTTTGAACCTGCGCGTTTCATTGTTCCCTGCCGTTTTCCAGCAGTGGGGGAAATCAACTGAGCATTCATGGCACAGTGTGGAAAGGAAATAGGTTTATATTTAAGTCACAAACTTCAGCTCCCCGTAAACTGGCAAACCATCCACCTTCGATCCAAACAGCCTCGTGGCAGTGCAGCCACGTGCTCCCGCGCTCACCTTCCAGCAGCATCACGAGCCACGAGAACCGGGAACATCGCTGGGGGGTTTGAGGCAAACTATAATTTCAGAAAGTAGTAAAAACACAATGTGCTTCAGTGAGACCTGAATGTGCCTGAATTTACCTTGCGAGACTCTAAAGATGGAGGAAGGAGAAAAAAAACCAACCCAAGTTCAAACTGGCTAGCGGGAGCTAAGGGATAAACGTGGCCTCAGGCAAACAACCCCGCTCTGTATGGAGCCTGTGTATTAGTACGTGTCCTGATCTCGGACCAACACCTTTATATAAGCATTTGTCTCAGGTTCTGGCATGAGCTCTCCAGGTTTAGCTGTTGTTAAAACACATATTAAAGCATTTCATTTCCTTGCCAAGTTACACAAACTGCAGGCAACT